TCTCGGTAGCTTCTAGGAGTTTTTAGTTCGCCTGGGACACCAGAAAACTCATCTGAGTACATAAACGAATCCTTTGAAAATAAACTGACAAACCGTGTCTAAATTATTCAACGAAACTCGCCTCAATATATATATATATATATATATATATATATATATATATATATATATATATATATATATATATATATAAAAGCTTTTTATAAATTATTCTTAGCATCTGTATATAATCACCTGTGATTTCTTTGGTTCACAAAACAGATCTAGGTCAAGTTATTCTGGGTGTTAGAACTTGTTCGCTCAGGGTAACAGTTTTTTTTTTTGTGCGTCTCGCTATGAAGTTCTATTTCTTCATCATGGGTGACTTGCATCTCTTGCAAATTACAAACACAACAGAGACAGAGAGAGAGAGAGAGAAAGAAAGAGAGAGAGAAACTACACATGACAAAATACAAATAAATATATATATATATATATATATATATATATATATATGTGTGTGTGTGTGTGTGTATAGGTGCGTGTGTATGTGTGTGTATGTGAGTATTTAGGCAGCAATCCTTCTTTCATGCACATTTCATTAAATATGACAGACAAGGTGTTTGATTTAGTTTTTATACAATTTCTCATGTGATCTTTTTATTTTCTTTTAGGTAGACAACTTATATATAAACTGTCTTTTTTTTTCCGAGCGCTTTCGGCTATACATTTAGCAATTTTCAAGTTTGAAATATATTAACTGTTAACAAGATATAGATTATTGTATGAATGTTTTTCTATAATGTTTCATTTTCAAAACACGGCCAAGATATTGTGACCATGTTCATAGTTGATATTATTGAGTGTTGGTCTTTTTATAATATATCTACCAAAAAGAAAAAAAAAATAACATCACATGAGAAATTGTATATAAAAAAAAAAATCAAACGACCTTGCCTGTCATATTCAATGAAAGGTGCATATATATATATATATATATATATATATATATATATATATATATATATATATTGCTGGTCACACATATTAGAGAATACCCGCCTACTAGTACAGTTAGACAATCCCTATTGCAGATGCTTGCTCAGACGCATTGATGTTTATTCAACACCCACAGAGCCCACCTGTGGTTCATACTGCAACTATGCTGAGCAAACGTTAGTTACAGTTTCCGGGAAAGAGCGTGTTCTCTAGCGTGATCAACATTTTGAACAAGTCCAGCATACTCAAGCACAATTTCACTCACAGTGTTTGGGTCAACCTGTGGTATAGGTTACAGGCACTTTCTAAATAAATGACAATATTTGGGATCGACCTCGATACAGTCCGATAATATCAGGAAGTCTTATTTCTGACAAATCGACCGTGGGTCTCCTGGTCAGAACGCGAATGTTCTAACCACTCGGGTACGTATCCATCCCCATATATATATATATATATATTTACACGATATTATATATATATATATATATATATATATATATATATATATATATATATATATATTAATTTAAAGAAAAAACAGACCACCTTTAAGGCTCGATTGTAATAGTTTATTTATTTCACCAGAGACCTTTTTAAAGTACCCTGGATCATCAGACATCACTTTCAAAAGGTGAAACGAAAAATAAAATGAAAATTTACACTTTTGACGGGTATTATTAAGTTTATGTAATTTAACAGAGCGGGTAGCGAGAAGTGGTGTGAGAGACATGGTCGAGTTTAGAGAGGGTTTATTTTTATATTTCTTTCTATCATACTTAGTATTGGGGGAGGAGGGACTAAACATTGACCTATTTAATCGGTCAGCTTAACGGAAATGATATGTTGAAAGGGAAGGAGAGAAGAGAGAAAAAGAAAAAGAAAAAAGAAAGAAGGGGAAGTAAAGAGAAAGAAGATGTATTTAGGGTTTACGGAGGAAGAAGAGGGGCGGTATAGTTTTAGCAATTTAGGTAAAAAAAAACAACAGATTTTAACGTTTGATAGTAATTTAAATGTTTAAAAAAAATAAAAAAATAATGCTTGTTAGCAATTTAAATATTTAACTTTTTTACAAATAAATTAGGGATTTAATGTGAGTTAAATACTATATTTAAAAACACATTAATAAAAATCACATTAAAATATATTTAAAATATAAAAGTTTACTAAAAGTAATCTTTTAATGTTGAAAATAACTGTTAAGGTAACATCTTTTTAACATCAGTTTCAGTCTAATTCATGAATGTAATTTATAACTATTTTTAGAGGGGTAATCTTTCTTACTTAAAGTTTCAAATTAAGATGGAATAATATTTGAAGATAATATTTAAAAAAAAAGTTTTTTCATATATATACCACATATACATTTATGTAAATCCCATATATACATACGTTCAATTACAAGTGCAATTAAACACATAAGCACACACATATGTATCGATATACACAGGTACCTGTACAAATTTACATCTATTGAAATTTTCCTTAGGTGGTGACTTAAGTGCTTAAATATTAAAAACAATATTTCTAATTTTAATACTTTTACTATCAAGACTGATAGTTAAAGTGTAATATATTAAAATTTAAATTAAATTAAATTATCAATTTAAAATGAAATTACCTCCAGATGATTAAAAATTTCAATCTCACAATTCTAACTAGATAATATTTAAAGGGAAAGTAAAATCAAATATTAATAAAAGAATTTTATGTCCTTCCATTAGAATTCTCTCTCTATATATATATAAAGTCAAATCTATACCCATATATACCTATATATACGTATATATTCATATTACTATGTCCTACATATATTCATATATTACATAAACGAACTGAACAAATATTTACATATATATAAATATATATATATATATATATATATATATTTTCAGACAACATGCAATCCTATATACAAATTTAATGATATATATATATATATATATATATATATATATATATACAAAAATATATTACCTAAACTTGAATACACATATATATATATATATTACATATGCGCCTACAATACATATACACATACATATGTATATATATACACCCTTATACAAATGCATATACATATACACATAAAACCACATATCAAGTCCATCTACACATTTGTATACATACAATTATGTATCCGCATCCATGTGTGCATACAATCATTTCCAAATCTAAAAATAACATAATATATAGTTTTTCTTTCTAAATATATTTAGTTAGATTGAGATGGTTTCTATGTCTACATTTAAAAATTAACTCGTTATGTTGGTTCAGTAATATATCAGGATCTTTATGGTTTATCATTAGGATCTTCTCTGTTATATACAGGTCACATCGGTCGGTGAAATTTATTGGAGTTCGAGCCCTAGAGACGTTTTTCCGTTTTATTTGTGGGGTTAAGTCTCTCTCCAACAAATCCCAATACTGTTTTGATAGTGCTGTTTGCTGTTTTTTAGATCCATTTGTGAAGGAGTGGCGATGGTTATAAAAACGTTGCTTCCAATTTCCAGCAGATATTCCTATTGCTGCTCCAACATTCCTTCATTATAATTAGGCTCAATTTCTTTACACCACTATATATATATATATATATATATATATATATATTATATATTTGTGGGGGGGGCATGTCTTATTGAATAAATTACAGACATTATGTCTGCTAATTTTAATAAAATCCTTTCATACTCACGGTTAACCTTCCGTGTATTGACGTTAAGAGATGAGGGAAATGTGCTATAGCTGTTTAAATTTCTTTTCTTTTCATTTCTCAAGTACTTTCGATCTTTTCCCAGAATCATCTTCAGGGGTGCAAGTGGTACAAAACTATATGTTGTTGATTAGCATAAGTATTTATACAAACATGTCCAATGTTATTCATTACTGTAAATCTTTTCATTATACATTTATATGCAAAAAAGGTTGACAATGTATTGGTAAATGAAAATCAAAGAAATTGAAGCAGCTATATCTCATCCTTTAATATCAATACACAGAAGGATAATTCTTGAACTTAATTTTATGAAAAATTAATAGATCACGTAATATCTGTAATTTATTTAATCAAAAAAAAAATTTGCTGTCTAAATAATCATAAATATTTATATATATATATATATATATTTTTTTTGTGAAAATGAATCAGACATATATATATATAGTTATATATATATGTATGTTTATTGACACACACACACACACACACACACATTTAATTATAAATATATATATATATATATATATATATATATATTTTTTTTTATTTTTTAGGAGGAATTGATATTACATTTCCGTTAACAGGACTTTTTATATTTAAAATTTTCATATATATATATATATATATATATATATATATATATATATATATATATATATATATATTTTAAAAAAACAAAATATATATATTTTTGATACATTTTTTATGTTTATACATTTTATACAATTAAATTACAATAATTTTCGGACTTTGTCCGTTTTATTATATATATATATATATATATATATATATATCTATGTATAAAATAATTTTCCAGCATTCATTGCTATATAGGAGGATCTATATTACATATTTTAATTCCTTGATTAGTTTTGGGATGACATATTAAACTTGAATATTGATCTCTCAATAAAGCGAGAGGCGACTGGCTCTTTCAATAAACAATTGCTAGATTTCGAATCATTATTCGAAATATAACCTATTGTCACAAAGAGATTGTTACTTTTTTTTATATATTTGTTTAGGTGAAATATAAACAAAATTAAGTTCTTTTTCATGGGTGGAAAAACTCCAAAATCAGGCCGGGGAAGTAAAAGGTCTCACTATGTCTTTTCAAGAAACTATTCTCTCAGTCATTAAAATATCTTAATCAGTCTCGAAAGGTATCTATCTTTTCTATCTATCTATGATATCTCCGTCCCTCTCTCTCTCTCTCTCTCTCAATCTATATATATATATATATATATATATATATATATATATATATATCAGTGTTGTGTATCTATCTGTCTGTCTCCTTTAGGTGGGTATCTATCTATCTAGCTATCTATCTCAGTTTAAAAGCATCTATCTATCTATCTATCTATCTATCTATCTATCTATCTATCTATTGCAAGGTGGGTATCTCTCTATATCAGATTATTCGCATCAATCTATCTATCTATCTATCTATCTATCTTAAAATATTTTCTGGAAATAAAAATTTATTCATCTATTTAAATATCTATCTATCTATCCATATATCTATCTGTCTGCATCTATTTATCTATCTATCTATCTATCTATCTTAGTTTCTTCGCATCTGAATCTATCAAAATGAATCACAATTTAAGAGCAAATATATATCTATATAAAAATGTATCTAAAAATAAATATTATCTATCTATCTATCTATTTATCTTCCACTATAAATTTATCTATCTATCTACATCTGAAATGTTCTTTTTTGACAAAGTTAATTAAACAAACGAACATAAAGTGAATCATGCAGAGTGAGAGACATGCATATACTTCTGATCCTACTGAATTTTCTTGCTCAATAAAGAGACAATTTCCAGATATCCTCTCAATATTTTCTTCCTAGAAAAAAAATTTAAAAAAAAAATATATAAGCGCCAATATGTATAAAATTTTGGAATTTTTTATCTATTTTAACTTCTCCGTCCAAGCACCAATCTCGCGAAATCAAAGCCGAGCTTATGTATATTTCTTTTGAAAAGATCTTAAGACATATTTGTTTTCCCTAACACAGACTTACCTGATAGTTTTGCCATTTCTTGCATTCCCCATGTTATTTCGAAATACATTCTGTTGCCTTTTACATCTAAAAGGAAAATAATCGGGTAGGTAGGGGGGGCGTTCTTGTTGAAGAAAATGGAAGCGTTTAAACTATCATAAAGAAGTCATCCATTTTTAATCTGTTCTGACAGGCACTTGTGGAATTGGCGAAAGAGAATTTCAAGGTATATTTTTTTTAACTTCTTGAATTTTTCGTCATATTTCTCACTGACTTTTCGAAAATGTCTTTATTTATCTCATTTTTAAAAAAAAAAAATCTAGCTTAGTACCCGTAAAAAATGATGGAATTATTTACTTACGGATCTGTCAATCCTTGCTGCATATTCTTAGGGTCGGTGTCGCCTGTGTACAAACATAAATAAAATATATGAATAAAATTTGAAATATTAAATAGGATGACCCCTGTAAACATAAGAGGAATTTAATTTGTAATTTTCTTTTCAATCTATAATTCTCTCTCTTGATATCACACACACACACACACACACACACACACACACACAACGTTTTTTTTTCTTTTCCCACACACACACGTTCTCTCTCTCTGTCCCAGTTCTATATATTATCTCTGTAGACACACACACACACACAATTATGTTTCATCACACACACACTTTATACACACACACACAGACTCTCTAATTTTGTAATCACACACAATTTATCTGTAATACCACACACACACACACACATTTTTTTTCCTTCTCTCTAATACACTTGAAAACGTTTAAAATTTGTTGTCCCATAAATATGTTTTTACACATATTTAATTAATTCGAAATACACACACACACAAAATTAATTTGTTTTTTTATATAAAATAATTATTCTTGATTTTAAAATCTATCCCCAACACACCACACACACATTGTTGAAATTTTCCCATATTTACACACACACATGAATTTATTGGATATTTTATTCTGTCAAACCATGAATATATGACGTCATTTGTTTACATTTGATACGCCAGAGCAGTTATGAATGTACGAGATTCATGGAAGATTGAAGTTTATAAGCAGTAAATTCGACCTTGTCTACCGAACGGTTCTTTGTGGCCGATCGGTTAAGGCACGTCAGCGTAAATGACGGTTCCGTATAGGATGCAGGTTCGAATCCTGTCAAAGAACGAATATTTTCTATGAAAATTTCTCGGACATTCAGGCCGGTAAATGTTATTTAATACTGTTTATCATAAACAGAGCATTTGCTTAAATACTTGTATCTATAAAAAAGAACGTTAAACATAAAAATGTCTTTAATAAATATATATATATATATATATTATTTATATATATATATATATATATATATATATTTTTTATTATATTAAAATTTAATCATTTATTTAACTTAAAGTACGGAAATTTCAGATGTTAAATAAGAATATATAAAATGAGAATACATGGATATTGATAATATTCAGCAATTTTGACAGGACGAGTGATCATAAATTATTTTCGAACAAATATATATATATATATTTATATTTAATATATTATATATATATGTTTTATATAAAAATATTTGATTTCAACAATGGATTTGTTTTTTATAAATTTATATATTATATATATAAGGCAATAAATTCCAGTTTAAGGACATTTTATGAAAATATTGACTATATGAAAAAACACATGAGGATTTGACGTTGACAAAATAGAATGAAGAAATATAAAGAACCAAAAAAAATGTTATTAACAACAAAAATATGAACAGAAAAGAGCAAATTCTTTTATATATAAATACCTCATAAAATATTTTTAGAAAAGAAAAAACGGGTTAAAACGATTAATTCATTTTATTATATCTAGTTACCATTTTAACTTATCATCCAATTTCTATTAAAATAGTATTACGCTTAATATATTTTAGGCAATTTTACTTGTTTTTATATTTAGAAAATTACCATTTTTTTATTTATGGATTTCAGATCCGATTAAGATAAAAATGGAGATTTTTAAAGATTGATTGCTTTATTTTTCTTATAGACTGCATTATTTTTTTAGAATTTTAATATTTTTAATATATAGAATTGAAAAAGTAATGTATTTTTTATGAATACAGATTTAATACATGAAAGGTTTTTTGTTTAGTTTAAATGGACAAAATATTTTTTTTCAAAAAAATATTGATTTAAAAATTTTTTTTTTTTTAAAAAAAAAAGAATAATTAACAAGATATCTTTTTCAATATTCAGTTTGATTTAAAACAATGAAATTCTTTTATAAATTTTTTTTTTTTTTTTTCAAAAAGAAAATTTTGATTTCTTTTAATTTTTTACAACAAAATTTTATGATAGTTTTATTTTTCTAATTATATTTTTTCTTACCAGAAAATCATAAATATTAATTATATTTCTATTTTGATGGTGAATAAAGAAATTTTTGATCATCCTATTTTTTTTTAACGTTTTTTAAGTTTATTACAATTATATTTGACGAATTTAGAATTGTTATAAAATATATATATCTTTATATATGGGAATTAAATGAATATTTTTAATCTTATTTAAATGCATTTTTTTAATCAAAATTATATAGAATTTTTTATGATTCAGTAAATTTATATAGAAAAATATACGAAAAATTTAAATATCAAAAAACGTGATGAATTTTTTTTTTTTTTTTTTTTTTCTTAAATTTTTTTCAATCCATTTAAATACTGTTTTTTTTTTTTTTTGTTAAATTGAAAAAAAAAAAAAATTGAAAATTAATGATTTTACATTTTTGTTTTTTTTTAATTCCTACATTGATGTTTCAATGAATTTTATGTTCAAAGTTTCAGTGAAAAATATCTATATTTTTATAAAATTTTATGTTTTTAATAAAACACTTAAATATTCAATGATACATGAAAGAAAAAACATTGTTCTTATTAGAATCTTTAATTAAATGTGTGATATGATTATATCAGTTTAAAAAAACGACATGATATAATAGCCACATATTTGATAGATAATTATATATATATATATATATAGATATATGTTATATATATATTCATATATAAATATTTTTTTTTTGAAAAATTTTACAATGTCGGTTAATTTAATTTACAAATAATAAAATAAATTAAAAAAAAAAAAAAATAAAGAAATAAATCTTGAACAAATAATTATTTAAAAATTCTTAAGTCCAGAAAAATCAAGTTGAATCAGAAGTTTCAAGTTTGGAATAAAAAAATAAAACATTATTTTCCAAATTTTTCCAAAATTCTCTTTGAAATGAATTCCATGTAAAATTTTATTTGAACTTTTTTTCAATCCTATGCAATTTGAATGAAAAGTTTTTATATATTTAGCTTCTGGAATGGATAAAATTCTATTTAAATTAAAAAAATATTATAATTTCAATATATATATATTATATATATATATATTTACTTCAATCTTATATATATTGTTATATATTTTATTATAATATTTATATTTTTTTAAGTTGAAAATTTTTTGGATAGATAAATAGTTCAATGATAGATTTTTAGTAGGAAGATATTTTTTTATAAAAAAATTGGATAGAATATTTAAAAAAAAAATAGATCATTAATTCAATTTATGTCATTTAAAAAATTTAATTCCATTATCATTATTTTCCATTATTGAGTGAATTAAATTCTTAATTAATTTCAATTAAAAATATATTTTCAGTGCATATTTAAAATTATTTTTTTTATCATATATAATTTTATATATAAAATATATTTATATATATATATATTAATATTTATATATAAAATATAAAATAATAAAAATAAAAATTTTCAAATTTTAGATATGAAATTTTTAAAAAATTTTCTTTGAACAATTAAAATTCTATTATGTTTCAAAAAAAAAGACAATGGAAAATTTATTAATTATTTATTTTGAAATTTTCAACAAATTTTTATTTCAAAATTTAAAAATTCGTCATTAAATTTTGGGACAATATGAATTTTTTATAGCAGAACTTTTTTTAAATGATAGTTAAAAAATTAATTTGTCTTTTCCGTTTATCAAAAATTTCTTTAACAATTTTTTTTTTTTCAATTTTTAATTTGATATATTCAAACAATAAATTTAAAATAGTTCTATATATTTTAACATATCTAAAATTGCATTATCTAAAAAATTTATAAAATAATATAAATTTCAGGCAAATTATATATTTAATATATACTATTAAAAAAAATATAATATTAATCATTTAAATATTATGCATATGTTTTTTATTTTTTGTTTAATTAAAACAAAACAGACCAAAAATTATGACTGTTTCGCAAAATCGAATTGGTTTTAGCAAATGAATTCATTAACTACAAAGATTTTCTGTTCTATGTTTGAAAAGAATTTAATATCCATATAAATATTTCTTTTAAAACAAAAATATAGTATATAATATCCAAATGGATTTGAAAAAAGAAAAAATTATGGATGACATCATTAGGAAAATATTTTATTAAATTAAATCAGTTTTATTTTTTTAAATATTATTTTGTTTCAATTTTTTTTTTT